TCCTTATCTCTCTTGATTTTCTATCAAGAGTTAGAGAATTCAATTTTGAGTAGAAAGCACTGGAAAAGGTTTAACAATTCTTGGAAACATTTGTACATAAGCTCTGGGAATACATTTCGATTACAATTCGAAAATCTCACGTATTTAATGGAACACCACGCTTTATGCACACACTCACAAACAGCTGCCGGATTTACGCATCGATCGTCATCCTTGCTGCAATCAGCGTCCCTTTCACAGTAATTCCTCGGGTTTTCTGTCGTCTAAACGATTCGAAAGTTTATTTTAACAATAATTCAGGAGATTACCGATAGAATTACTATATTTTTATTCATTTTTATGTTTAGTTTGTTTTTAAGTAACGTTTTTTGCGGTATTCCTAGAAAAACAAGACTGGAGTTGTTTTCTGAACTCTGGTGAAATATTTTTACAACAAAAATTTAGATTTTGAAATAGAATCACTGGAAATTGTTGGTAGCTGAGTTTTTGAAGTAGAGAAAGAAGTAGAGAAAGAAGTAGAGAAAGAAGTAGAGAGAGAAGTAGAGAAAGAAGTAGAGAAAGGAAGTAAAGAAAGAAAATAGAGAAAGAGTTTGGGGTGCGACCCGCTTTAACCTTATCAACGAGGATGATTCTGCTTAAGAATGGCCGAATAGCACAAAAGGTTAAAATGGTTTCCCCAAAAGCGCTCACAACGTAACAAGAACACGTAGTATCCAACAATAGATTAATACTCTTGAGAAGAGTACGGATCGGATTAATACTACGTCGATGGTGACACAAATGTTAGTAAAACAGTCTCTCTACAATGTTAAACCAGTTATCTAAACAGGATTTAAAACCTGAAGGGTAGCATAAAGTAAAGTGAATTTATAACGTTACTGTTCATTAGTACAGAACCGAAATGCAACAATACCCATTACAAAAACAGGATGCGCATCAAAAATGAAACAACAAAGTCCCCCCAGAAAGAAGGCAAAAAAAAAACCCGCAGACCAAAAAAATAATTTTGGGAAGGGAGGAAAGGACGAAAAATGCGACGCGAATAATTGCAAAATGGCAACGCAAATAGGAAGGAAACGGACGCGACCAAAGAAAGTAAGTAAAGGAAGTAAAGGAAGTGAAAGCCTAAGTATTTAAAACTGAAACTAAACTGAAATCACTGTCGATTTTAGCTCAAATCAAAAGCTAATAATGAAAGAAATCTAGATAGATAGAAATCTAGATCTAGATTGTTTATTTTCAGGTAACCATTTTGATCATTTTGATCATTTTGATCATTCTTGCCTGATCAGCGGCTACGGCTAAGACGAAAGCGATCAGGAATAGCTTGATCATTTCAAAGGAATAGCCAAGAATAGCCAAGAATAGCTTGAGTTTAAAAGCTAAACTCAGTTGTTTTTTATATCACTTTTATATCACTCAACACTTTTCATTTTTTTTTTTCCCATTTTCTTTTGAATTCGCTTTATTTTGTGATTCAATTTTTTAATATAATAGAAAAATTTCAAGCAAAAATTTGCAACAAAACATTGATGAATCACAAAATGGAAAGTATTAGGATGAAATGATGCCTTTAACTTTTGAGATAAACAACTTCTTAGACACCACCACTGAATAGAGGCATTGGAGACAAATGACGGCCACAATAGTGCTTTTTATCCTGAAATTTTTAATTTTTTTTATCCGTTTTCGCTCCTAAATCAAGCCGTTCCTGATTTGTTGCAATACGACAACGCGTCAGTTCATCGATCCGGAGATACCCGAGACTGTCTGAACAGCAACAACATTGCAACTTTGGACTGACCCGCTCAGTCTCCTGACCTCAATCCGATAGAAAATTTATGGCGAATACTTGTCCGAGATGTCTACAAGAATCATCGTCAGTTTCAAGACGTTTCCACACATAAAGCAGCAATTTTTTCAGCCTGGAGCGATCTCGACGTCTCTGCTCTTCAAAATCTCATCAATTCAATGCCAGGCCGCATTTTTCAAGTAATTAATCGTTCTGTTGCGTGTACAGATCATTAGTTTTGATTTTTTTTACCTTTGATTTTTAATTTGTGTCGATAAATAAAAATATTTTCATAGTGCGTTTAAGAATTTGAAACGGTTGATTTAGCAAAAAGTTTCTATTTTGAAAATTTTCACTTTTTACAGTATGCTTCTTTTTCGTGTTATTTAGGTTTTAAGACCTGCTCTTTCTAATACAAAAAGATTAATAGTTGTAGCGGTGGTCAAAATGCAAAATCCGCTATTTTAGAGGGTGCGTTTAAGAATTTGAAACGCACTGTAGTACCCCACCCCATAATGACGGTGCGGAGTGTTGTGTAGTCTAGCTTTGAACGAGTTTTTCTCGACACTGGTTTATGCTACAATGCGCGTTTAGGTATCAAATGAAAGCTGAGATTCAGGGCTATTTTTCATACCAAAGACGATCTTTTCAAAATTATGGGCGCTTTGAAAAAATGAAATACTAAAATGCTAAAACTTTTGCGACTACGCGACTGTACGACGGGGGTGGGGTACTATTGTAGTATTTACGGTAGTAACTCCAGTGAAAGTACAGTATCCCATTTGATATACATTATTATGATTATTACAAGGGACAACTATGGCAGGCATTAGAGTAAACAAGAACTAGCGTCTTTGCGCCCAATTTTGAAAACTCAAATTCTTTACCTGCTAGTTCTCTTTGCTTGAAGAAAACTGAAATTTTCATTGCAATAGAAAGGGTATGTTTACAGCTTTTGAGCACAAAGTACATCACAAAGAAGTGCCAAGAAAGTGCGTGGTTTTAAAGTTGATAGAAAAGCTGTTAAAGCGATCTTTCATTCCCCTTTCTCGTCCCTTTGTAGCCAAGTGGTTAGCATTGCTGTTTTCGATCTCATCCGATACGAGTTCGAGTCTCAATGATGACAAAATCGACTAAGACTTGCCGAAATCAGATTTTCAGCTTTGACATGCTAACAAACGGTTCGATTTCCGGCCCACAAGGACAAGTGGTTCAGGTTTGTTGAAGAATTTGAGTAACTATTGTAAATAAGATATTCTAACGTATCAAATCCTTTGTATAAATGGATGCCGGGGAAAATCAACCAATCAAAGGATTTCGTTGGTGATGAGGCTGAAAATCCGTGGAATTTCACAACGATTACACCGGAAACGGTAAAACTCCTTCAATCGTCAAATACTTGACCATTTAAGGTGACATCTCCTTTAAATTCAAGTCCCACTGCGTTTTCCAGTCAACCACCACGAAAAACGCAATATCTCTTCAATTTTTCACTAAATTACTATTTTTTGTCCTTTTTTTTAATATAATGAATTTGTAATACAAATTTTCTAAAAAAAGTCCCTAAGCTCTCATAATCATCCATCATATGATCTCAAGTGTTGTCGAAAGAAAGAATTCCGAGAAATCCTTTCCCTTCGACTTGAGACGAGTTTTCATACTTTTGTCATCATTGGGACTCGAACTCGCGTTGGATCGCGTGGAAAACGAAGATGCTAACCACCTGACCACAACGAGACCGAGAGAAGGGGAGGGAAGAGGGGCTTTCTAGGGAGTCGGGTGGTTGAAAAGGGTGGGTTTTACTTCAAGGTTTTTACCCTGAACGTCGCCTAAATTCCTCGAAATCTCGAGAACCGCTTATCAGAACCTATCGATGTGGGGTCGGAAAATGTAGCTGACGATGAGATCTAGTGGGGTTTGAGTGTTGAGCTTCTACAAGCTTCGAAACCGTAAAATCGTCACCAACTCGGCTCGGCCTGAGAAAATACGGTAACTTGCAAATATTTCGTAATTCTTTAAATCTTTATTCCCAATGAATTCAATGCAATCTTTGACTTCTTTGAGTTGAATCAAAGCCGGAAACTCGCACAAAACTCAATCGAATCGGCTCCGTTCGACTAGTTAATGGCGGCATTTTGAGAATCTTTCGAGCAATCACTCGAAAATAATTGATTTGTACAAGAGTGAATTTTCGATAACTTTTATAGCAAGTTAGAATGATAATTGTGTTAAAAAAAGCCGTAAGTGAGAGAAGGATTGATCCCCAATGTTATACTCTGAAAGGTTTATTTGTCTATGGAAAACTCATCGAATTGATGTCAAAGTCGAATAAAATCAAATATAAATGTAGAATTTTCTTGCTATAGCTTTTCATTTAAAATCTTTTTAAAAAAGTAGCTGTTGAAGTCTTCAAATATTGGTTTTTCCGTTTTACCCTGGTGACACAAAGTCCGATATCACCCGTTTGGGGCCAGAACTAGGGCCAAGATCAGGTCAGGTTTAGGTCAAGATCTGGAAAGCCTGTCTCCGTTTCAGTCAATCCTGGTTGGGCAGGGTTTAGATGGGTTTAGATAGGCTTTAATTAGCCTTAGATAGGCTCTGAATAGCGTTAGATAGCCTTAGATAGACTTTCGATAAGCCTGTCTCAAACCAGGATCAGGATTCGACCGAGTTCGGGTTCTAGATCCTGCAAAATTTCGTAATTGGCAAGATTTTTGGGTGAAAATCTTAACAATGACAATACCAGACTCATCCTTTTCTAGACCTGGTATTTAGAAAGCTTATAGCTTTTAAGCTATAGCTTATAGCTTTTAAGCTATAGCTTATAGGTAAGCTAAAGCTTATAGCTTTAACACAAGAAATGTTTAACACAAGATATTCAGCTAACAAGCTACAAAACAATAAATGATTTGGGGCGCGAAATGCTTTTTCAATGCAAAACTGATAAGAAAACGACAAAAAAACTAACTGGGTTTCATTTCTTTTCTCTTTTCTCTTTTCCATTTCCATTTTTTGTTCTTCATTCTTCATTTTCTTTCTACTCTCACTCAAAGAGAGATTTCTTCTCATTTTGGCGTTCAGGAAATTCCTTTTTTTTACTACTTTGTCCAAAGCGGAACGGTACAAATTGCTCTCTGCCAATGAAATTTTCGATTTTTCTTTACAAGTCTATTTTCTAATCTTGAATCTAATTATTTTGTAGAAATCAATGCCAAATCCATCATCTACGCAACGACACATAGCACCTGATGGAGGATGGGGATGGGTAAGTAGAAAATAAAAAAAACATATTATTAATGTTGTATGAACAATGAATAGCCGAAATTTCCTTGTCGGACTTGTCTTGGTCTGGAAAATTGACTCCAGAAGCAGCTCTGATTAATTGAGGGCCAGTTATAAGCGCCAGAATAAAAAAACAAAAGAAATTGGCCGAGGTCGAATTAGACATCGGACCCGTAGTAGGGGAGCTTTGACGATGCACCACGCCGAGGCGTAGCCAGGATTCCGTGACTTTCAGTCTAACGGCTTGATCTTCTCGAGGCTATCCCAATCAATTTCCGACCAAGGAAATAAGTCGTGTTCGTGTACCATTTTGAAGAGTCACCACCGTTCCCATCATGAGCTTTGACTTGTGTTTTGGGTCGTTGTCCTGGTAGAGCATCCATCCAGGAGGCATCGTCTGTGTGGCAACCGGCAGCATTTGGGTCTCCATAATGTTCTTGTAAGCCACATCATTCATCGTTGAGTTGACGTGAACTGATGGACCTACTGAAGTTCGTGACATCGCTCCTAAAGAAAAACAATCAGGTGACAAAATACTAAAAAGGCTCTTACCCCAACACATTATGTTTCCGCGTTGAATTTCACCGTACGCCAAATACTTGAGTGTGTATCGCTTTCCAGTCGGCCGCCGAATAAGATGGTTTCCATCCGCGTGAAATAAATTGATTTTTGTCTCATCGGTAAATAGCACTTTCGCCCAATCACTTATTGTCCAACTTCGGTAGATCCGTGCAAAATCGAGGCGCTGCTTCCGGTGCTTAGAATTCATCAGAGGTTTACGGCCAGCCCTTCTTGCATATAATCCAGCTTGATTTAATCGTCGTCTGATCGTTTCCGGCGATACGACCTTGTTAAATTGATCCCTCATCATTTGGCTTCCATCGGTTGATGTTTTGTTCGGATCGTTTTTTACCATTTGGATCACGGCTCGATCTTCCTTTATGGTTGTGATTGGTCGTCGGCCACTCTTGAGGCCTCGATGAAGGTTTTTGCCGACTTTTGATTGAGAAAAAATGCGGCGCACTGTCCATATCGAGCAATTGAAGAGGTTGACCACATCCTTCTCCCGCATCCCATTTTCCCGGACCTTAGCGATTTGGAGCTTCTTCGGCGTGTCAAGATTTTTCATGTCAGGAATCTAAATAATACAATAGAATACACTTAATGTTCATAGAAGGAGAAACAAAAAAGAATACTTTTGAATGGCAATGGGGCATTACTTTTGTGGACCACTGTATAATTCCTGCTACCGTCTTTCCCTTTCCGCTTGGCTTTCCCTTCCCTTCTGGGGGCGGGATTTGTTGCGATTCTGTCGGGTTTTCCTTGCCGATGGCAATCTCCGAGGTAGGGGTATACCTCGGAGGTATGGGGGTCTACCTCAGAGGTGGGGGTTGCTTTCCTTCGGACTGCTTTCCCTTCCTTTATAGGTGGGAGTTTTACCTGAAAGAGTCAGACTAGGACTCAACAAAATAGATATCAGTTGGTTAAGGGTTACGGTAGTTGAAAGTCACGAAATCCTGGCTTCACCTCTGGCAACACGTCGGTATTTAGACCCAAGTAAGTAGACACCTGACAATAGTTTCCTAGTGACTGTGTACCGAAACCATTATTGTTTTCGTTCTAATTGCAAGCATTTTCAATATTGTAGCCAAACTAGCACAGGGGAAAACTCAGAAGCTAGATCAAAGCCTGTCTTCCAGACATCTAGCAAGGTTTGCAAAAAGCCAAAAGCCAAGCCTGTCAAGTCGAGTCAAGCCTCAGTAACTTTTATGGATTTTATCTAAAGCTAGACCAGATCTTGGCTTCTGAGCTGACTCTGGCGTAGTCCTAAGCATAAGCCTAAGCCTGCTCAATTCAAACTTACTAATTCCAGTCAAATATTCCCCAAAGCCTTCAGGTTGTCGTCCTTGGCGCTTTTCTAATCCACGTGATCTCTGATGGTTTTATTGATTCACTGGGAATTGTTATGGATCGTTTGAAAGAGGTAAAAGAATCGAATTTTAGACTTTCAGAATCAAGAATTTCAGGAATTCCATGCCGACAACGCTAGCGCGGCACTCGTTTTCTCGGTGCTGAACGCTGTTTATATGGCTTCCGGTGAGATTTTTGGCTTAATTACTCAAGTCTGACACATCCAAATGTGTTGATTTATTTCCCCAAGTTTCATTTCGATTGTAGGCGTCGTTGCGACAGCGATCGCTGATCGAATCGGCCGTCAGCTGACGTGTGCAATTGGATGTTTATTTTCGGCTCTTGGGTAAGTCCAACGATACATTTTGATGGGTAAAATGTTCTTTTCAATAACATTTGTTGTCTTCCAGTTGTCTCCTCTCAATTTGGGCCTCATCAATGCTTCTAGTCGGTGTAACAATTGGAGTGATTCTGGGAATCGGCTCCGGTTTGATGTACTCCTCAGCGATCGTCTGTATGACTACGTATTTTGATAAGTGCGTGATTTTACGGGGAAATTATTGATTGTTACTGATATTATTGATATCTGAGATGTTCGATTCGTGCCCAAGAACAAAATCAGATCAGGCTGGGCTTGATAAGTGCGTGATTCTAGGTACAGAGTGACCGCGACTTAAAAATTTTTGGAAAAGTATCTGGTAAATGTCTAATTTATTTTAAAAATCGCAAGTGTTATATAGAGAATTGTAGCCCTAATTCTCGACCATATTTATCTACCAAAAAAACTTCGCGATTCGACTTATAGAACTCATTGAAAAAGCGCTTGAGCGAGCGCTAGTCGACATCTCACCGGCGAATCGATCATTTGACCGCTTTTCTCTATTAAACATTGTTAAGAAAAGCTTTTTAAAATTTCTTTCAAAGAAGCAGTAAGTTAGACGGAGCCAGGTCTGAAGGCAGGTAAAGATTTCGGCCTGGTTCAGATACTTTTTGTGGACCAAATAGATCAGAAACCAGGTCCAGGCATATTTTAATCAGCACATGATTCTATGATTCCAATACTGATTTGATACTGGCTCCAGTACTGAAACCTGAAATATACTAACCGGGCACAAGGATCTGTAAACTATTAGGTTGGTGGGAAAATAATCGAAATTTGGAACCTCTAACTTCAAGTCCAAAACTTATTCAAAGTAAAAACCATCAGCATCTATACACTGCTGCCAACGCGAAACAACGTTTTCGAATCCCATCAGAATAGAAATTTGGCGTTTTCAAGTGGATAAACTGCTGGAAAGCGTTTCCGGCCTCGCCTTGATTCTTGAACTGTTTATCTTCTAGAAAATGGCACAGATGCTTGAAAAAGTGGAAATCCGTAGGAGAAAGATCTGGTGAGTAAGGTGGGTGACTAAGAATTTCGTAGCCCAGCTCGCTCGATTTTTTTGATGGTTTTGATTGAAATGTGCGGGCGAGCATTGTCGTGAAGCAAGACCGGAACTTTCCGATTCACCAAACCTGGATCCAAAATTGTCAATTTTTTATGCATTTTTTCTATTTCCAAAATATATTGGTCCGAATTCATAGAATTTCCTGTTTTCAAGAAAGAAAAATGTATTGTTCCTTTCATGGACCACCAAAAAGTAATCATCATCTTTTTTTGATGAATCTCTGGCTTTGCAGTGCGTTTGGGCTTTTCATCTTTGCTTAGCCATTCGGATCTTCTTTTTCTGTTGTCATACAGGATCCATTTTTCGTCACACATGACAATCCGATTCAGAAATGGATCTTTTTCATTTCGGGTTAGAAGCGTCGAGGCGGCTGTCAGACGCTGCAGCCTCTGAGAGTCGCTTAATTCGTGCGGGATCCATTGCTCCATCTTCTTTACCTTTCCGATTGGTTTCAAAGGAGCCAAAATTGTTGAATGATCAACCTGAATTTTCGAGATGTTTTGGTCGAATCTCCTTCCACCAGTTTTTCCAATTCTTGATCGTCAACTTTGGGAGGCCTTCCCTCACGTTCTTTGTTATGAAACGTCTCATCGCCCGAGTGAAATCGCCGAAACCAAAAAGCGACCATACCATAAGAAACACTTCCATCGCCAAATGCCGTGTTGATATTACCAGTCGCTTCTGTTGCTGTATGACCAAGCTTGAACTCGTAGAAAAAAAGTGTTTGAAATTGTTCCTTATCCATGCTCTTAAAACACTCAATTTGTTTTCAAAATAAAGACTGATTGTAAAGTAAAAAAAAAAACATAAAAGAGAAGAACATATATCAATCACAATTAGCTAAAAGTTTAGTATCAATGACGCAAAAGGACTTTTAAAATCAAAGACAAAGTTTGAGTCTTGTTTATTTCGATTATTTTCCCACCAACCTGATAGAAGGCTAGGGTCTCTTTCTTTAGCCAAACTAGGTCCAGGCTTTGACCTTAATGTTCTTATCCCTTTCAGAAAACGATCTCTGGCTACGGGAATCACCGTTTGTGGCGCAGGTGTTGGCGCTTTTCTCTTCTCACCGATCAATGCATTGGTCATCGATCATTTTGGATATAAAGGAGTATTTATTTTATTTACAGGTGAGTGAAAAAAAAATTGTCCTATTAAAGCTAACCAGGGACGAGGCATTCACTGCTGAGTGGCAGTGAGTTAGAATCCAAGGCAGAGGCTCTCCGGTTCGAGTCCCTTTTCGTTTGCTTTTTTGGTTTTTGCAAAGTTAATTGCTCTCTATTTCAAATGCCGGTTTATTTTAAAAAGAACTTTAAAGAAAAATCTAGGTCTCTTCGTCTTTTGTCTCCTTTTTGCTGCCACTTTCAAGCCGATTCCCAAGCAAATGTCTCAAGAAGTTGAAGATCGGACTCTTCTTTCGGAAAAGTCATCAGCTGCCTTCACTATGAAAGAAATAGAAGAAAAAGAGGATGGATTGTAAGTAAAAGTACTGCTAAAGATCCAATAATTTGTACATTTTCTATTGTACATTTTCTATTGTACAGTTTCTATTGTACAGTTTCTATTGTACAGTTTCTATTGTACAGTCTATTGTACAGTTTCTATTGTACATTTTCTATTGTACATTTTCTATTGTACATTTTCTATTGTACAGTTTCTATTGTACAGTTTCTATTGTACAGTTTCTATTGTACAGTCTATTGTACAGTTTCTATTGTACAGTTTCTATTGTACAGTTTCTATTGTGCAGCTTGCTAGATTCATCTGATAATGCTAGATGTTCAATTCTTTACTTTCACTGTAACAATGGCATTGTAATTCAGGAATCACTGGCTTAGAAAGACAATCTCTTTGCTGAAAGACCCGGTTCTACTCGTTTTCGGTTTTTCATGCATGGTGACATCTGTTGGAACAACTGGACCAATCTATTTTCTTCCTTTTTATGCAACAAATACTTTGGGATTAACGAGAGATCAATCTTCAGTGCCAATATCAATTTATGGTAAATGAAAGACATTTAAAGGTTTCTTTTGGAATCAAACAAACCTTTTCTTCAAGCTCTTAAAGATTTAGAGAATTTTATGTGCCAGAAAGGTTACATTTGCATTAAATAAGTGTAAATGCGGCTTCATTTCAGTAAAAGACTTTGTGATTGAAACCTTTCAGCATTAGAAAGTGTTACGGTAGTTTAAATCGACTTTAAATGACATAGTACAGTACCTAAAGTGCTCTAGTAATAGAGTAATGTATTTTAATTGCCAAATTTAAGTATAACCAAAGCACAGATTTGGTTCCATTTAGGCCCAGATTTGGCTCCATTTAGGTGCAGACCTGATAAAGATAATTCAGCTTCAAAACCTATCTCTAACCCTTTTCAGGCCTTAGCAACACTCTGGGTCGTCTCGTTTGCGGTTTCATCAGTGATCGCCGAATCCCATTGCCGAAAAAAGCCGGCGACGACAAAGCGAGGAATCGTCGCTGCATTTTGGGTGGATCTCTATTGGTCAGTAGCTTATCTACTATATAAAAGAGCCGTGTCTGTCTGTCAATCCGTCTGTCCATCCGTCTGTGGGCTTTTTCTCAGCCGTCTTTAAGTCAAAAACACTGAAATTTATTTCAAAGTCTTAAAATCTAATCTATTAGGGTGGTGCAAAAGAAACTGCCGATGGGTATCAGCTCTCATTTATCAGAAACGAGCGATGCTAACCGCATTATTTTTTTATGTTTTGTTCGCATATTTGTTTCCTATTTATTTCGACATTTGAATTTTTTGGTTGTTGTTTATTTTATTTTAAAATGCTTATATTTTTTATTTAGATCATGGTCGAGCAAAACTTTGTGCTACGAGCAGCATTACTGTTTAACTTCAAAATTGGAAAGTCTGCTGCCGAATCGCATCGTTCTCTCTGTGCTGCTTTCGGAGATGACCGTTTGTCTCTCAGGCAGTGTCTCTCTACGAGCACGGTTCGAGGCCAGAAGTTGTGAACGAAGCCAAGCTGAGGGACGTTATTCAGGCCGACCCATGCCAATCTGCTCGAGATCTTGGGAAAATATTCCATTTGTGCTACGAGCAGCATTACTGTTTAACTTCAAAATTGGAAAGTCTGCTGCCGAATCGCATCGTTCTCTCTGTGCTGCTCGTTCTCTCTGTCTTTCGGAGATGGCAGTTTGTCTCTCAGGCAGTGTCAGACTTGGTTTCAACGATTCCGAGAGGGAGACGAGACTTTGGAAGATTACGAGCACGGTTCGAGGCCAGAAGTCGTGAACGAAGCCAAGCTGAGGGACGTTATTCAGGCCGATGCATGCCAATCTGCTCGAGATCTTGCGAAAATATTCCATTGTGATCATGTCACCATCGAACGCCATCTTTTTTTTGAATTTACCGTCAAATCGGCATTTTCTTTTGCACCACTATTAGGGTTGGATAAATTCAATTAAAAAAATTGAAAAATTAAAGATCGAGTTTTACTACGGGCTTCAAACCCGGATCGCGTGGGCTCTATCCAAGCGTGCTGCTGACTGCGCTAAATGGCTCTCGGGTGACGGCGACCATTTAGCGATATAAACCCACCGACTTTACTGAATTTTTTTGATTTTTTCAGCATTTTGGCTGGTAATTCTTCTAAATAACTTCGAAATTTCAAATCTAAATCACAATTTACCTTCAAATTTCAGCTCTGCGGTCTCTTTTGTTGTTTATCGTTTCTGTTAAGCGACTTTCTCAGTGTCTGCCTCTATGCTGGACTATTTGGATACTTGTGAGTCAATAAAATTCGAAATTTAGTTATATTATACAATTACAATCATTTTATTTTTAGCTCAGCCGCCTCAATCTGTTTATTGTCGGTGGTTTTGGTGGATTTAGTCGGAATCGAGAAATTGACGAACTCTTTTGGAATCATTTTAACGTTTAAAGTGAGAACCAGAACTACCGATAACCTATTAAACGTTATGCTCGCTTTTTTAAACGCACACTTTCTAGTGCAATGAGTTCTTGTAAAAGCTAAATTTGTTAAAATTCATCTCTTAGGCAATCGGAACAATGATCGGTCCATCAATCGCTGGCTGGTTGGCTGACTATTTTGGGTCCTATCATCCAAGTTATATTTTCTCAGGTATATTTAGAATTGAAATTCAAAAGATGCTAAACTATTGATTGTAAATGAAGATCTATTAGATGAAAAAGAGCAGTGTCTGTCTGTCTGACTGTCTCTCTTTTTGGCCATTTTCTCAACCGTTTTTTTAAAAAATAAAGCTGAAACTTCTTTAGAAAAGCTTAGAATATATATTGTTGTGGCATTTAAAAAGAATTTTGAAAAAATCGATGTTTGGTGACGGATCTGGGAATCGAACCCGGACCGCACAATGAGTACAAAAATTTTTGTTTTCAAATCAAAAATCTAAGCACTAACAATTCTTGAATGATGTCCAACTAAGAGAAAAAATGCAAAAAGAGAAAGTTTTTTTTTTTTTTTGGAATCTACGCAAAAAATTGGCCCAGGAAAGTGGAATTTGAATAATTCTAACTGGGATATCTTAGGAGAATTGATTAGGTCAAAAGACAATTTCTCGACCTATCGAAATCGATTCTTTTTGCATTTTTCTCTTAGTTGGACATCATTTAAGAATTGCTAGTGCTTAGATTTTTCATTTGAAGAGAAATGGTTTTTTCAAACTACGTACTCGTTGTGGGCCGTGTGGGTTGTAGACGAGGACACTCCCGAATGCGCCACGGTGACTGGTTGATAGGCCCACTCCCGACTGAACTAAAACACCGTTAAGCGGGTTTTTTCGGCTGGTTTTTCAATACTACTCGTTCCTTTTCTAAAAGACGCAAAAAGTTACCGTAATCTTCTTGTGATAGGTCGTTAGACTACGGTAGAATCATTTCCATCAGAGTTTTCTAAAAGACGCAAAAAGTTACCATAATCCACATAGGATTACGGTAACTACGGTAGAATTACGTAATCCATATTCCATATAGGATTACGTAACCTATAAAGTCTTACAGTAGTTAGATTCTGTAGTTAAAGTTTAGCCAGCAATAAAATGGACAATTCAAAACGTTCCTTAAAAACAAACTAAACATAAAAAATAAAAACGTTTAGGCATTTCTCTATCAATCAAGTGTAAATGCGGCTTCATTTCAGTAAAAGACTTTGTGGTTGAAAGCTTTCAGCATTAGAAAGTGTTACGATAGCCAAATCTACTTTAAATGACATAGTACAGTACCTAAAGTGCTCTAGTAATAGAGTAATGTATTCTAATTGTCAAATTTAAGTATAACTTGTACCTGATGAAGATAATTCAGCTTCAAAACCTATCTCTAACTCTTCAGGCCTTATCAACACTCTGGGCCGTCTCGTTTGCGGTTTCATCAGTGATCGCCGAATCCCATTGCCGAAAAAAGCCGGCGACAACAAAGCGAGGAATCGACGCTACATTTTGGTGGATCTCTAGTGGTCAGTAGCTTATCTACTATATAAAAGAACAGTGTCTGTCTGTCGATCCGTCTGTCCATCCGTCTGTAGGCTTTTCTCAGCCGTCTTTAAGCCAAAAACACTGAAATTTCTTTAGAAGTCTTAAAATCTAATCTAGTTGTATTATTTCAATTAAAAAATTGAAAAATGAAAAATTGAGTTTCACTAAGGGGGTCGAACCCGGATCACGTGGGCTGTAGCCGAGCGTGCTGCTGACTGCGCTACAGGGCTGGTCGGTGAAGGCGACCATTTAGCGATATAAACCCACCGACGTTACGGGATTTTTTTTTGTTTTTTCAGCATTTTGGCTGGTAAATCTTCTAAATAACTTTGAAATTTCAAATCTAAATTCCAATTTACCTTCAAATTTCAGCTCTGCGGTCTCTTTTGTTGTTTATCGTTTCTGTTAAACGACTTTCTCAGTGTCTGCCTCTATGCTGGACTGTTTGGATATTTGTGAGTTCATAAAATTTGGAATTTAGATATGTTGTGTCCGATTTAGATTCATTCATAGATTCTAAATCGGACATCCGATTTAGATTGAACTTATCGCGGACGTTCGATTTAGATTACAGTCTATATCGGACGTCCGATTTAGATTCAATCTAAATCTTATATAGATTGAACAATAATATAAACATGCTTAATATATGTTCTTAAGCGTTTTCTGTAGTTTTCTGCATTTTTCAAAGGTCTTTTATTGATTACAGTCTATATCGGACGTCCGATACAGATCGAACAATAATAAACGTGCTTAATATATCTTCTTAAGCGTTTTTTTTTGCAATTTTCTGCGCTTTTCAAAGAAATTTTATTGTCTTCTTTTGAGAATTTTTTGTTTTCTTGGTTTCCCTAAAAATTAAATGCTTACTATTAGCCTATTAAAGTTAAAAACTACAGAAACTACAGAAAACGCTTAAGAACATATATTAAGCATGTTTATATTATTGTTCAATTTATATTTCACTTTATCGTTTGAATAAAGTATTATTATTATATATAAGACGTATTATTGTTTAATCTATATGTCGTAGCCGCTTACGAAATTCAGCGGCTTACGAATGATTCGTAATCGGCTAGCTGTTAACGAATCATTCGTTAGCGGCTGAATTTCGTAAGCGGCTACGACATATACAAGATTTAGATTGAATCTAAATCGGACATCCGCGATAAGTTCAATCTAAATCGGACACAACAGATATATTATACAATTATAATCATTTAGCTCAGCCATTTTTAGCTCAGCCGCCTCAATTTGTTTGATGTCGGTCGTTTTGGTGGATTTGGTCGGAATCGAGAAATTGACGAACTCTTTTGGAATCATTTTAACGTTTAAAGTGAGCATGGCTATCGATAACCTTTTGAACGTTATGCTCGCTTTTGTAAACGCACACTTTCTAGTGCAATGAGTTCTTATAAAAGTTAATAAAGCTATAAAAGCTTATAAAAGAAAATTAACCTTTTAGGCAATCGGAACAATGATCGGTCCATCAATCGCTGGCTGGTTGGCTGACTATTTTGGGTCCTATCATCCAAGTTATATTTTCTCAGGTATATCTAGAATTTAAATTCAAGAGATGCTAAACTATTAGTTGTAAATGAAAATCTATTAGATGAAAAAGAGCAGTGTCTTTCTGATTGTCTGTCTGTCTGATTGTCTGTCTGTCTGATTGTCTGTCTGATTGTCTGTCTGATTGTCTGTCTCATTGTCTGTCTGATTGTCTGTCTGATTGTCTGTCTCATTGTCTGTCTGATTGTCTGTCTGATTGTCTGTCTCATTGTCTGTCTGATTGTCTGTCTGATTGTCTGTCTGATTGTCTGTCTCATTGTCTGTCTCATTGTCTGTCTGATTGTCTGTCTGATTGTCTGTCTCATTGTCTGTCTGTCTGATTGTCTGTCTGTCTGATTGTCTGTCTGATTGTCTGTCTCATTGTCTGTCTGTCTGATTGTCTGTCTGTCTGATTGTCTGTCTGATTGTCTGTCTGATTGTCTGTCTCATTGTCTGTCTGATTGTCTGTCTGATTGTCTGTCTCATTGTCTGTCTCATTGTCTGTCTCATTGTCTGTCTGATTGTCTGTCTGATTGTCTGTCTCATTGTCTGTCTCATTGTCTGTCTGATTGTCTGTCTCATTGTCTGTCTCATTGTCTGTCTCATTGTCTGTCTCATTGTCTGTCTCATTGTCTGTCTCATTGTCTGTCTCATTGTCTGTCTCATTGTCTGTCTGATTGTCTGTCTGATTGTCTGTCTGATTGTCTGTCTGATTGTCTGTCTCATTGTCTGTCTCATTGTCTGTCTCATTGTCTGCCTTTTTGCCCATTTTATCAATCGTTTTTTAAACAGCCAAATCAACTTTAAATGACATAGTACAGTACCTAAAGTGCTTCTTTACTGAAACTTCTTTAGAAAAGCTTAAAATATATTGTAGTTGTGGCATTTAAAAAGAATTTTTGAGAAAATGAAGTTGGCTGACAGATCTGGGAATCGAACCCGGACCGTGTGGGTTGTAGACGAGGACACTCCTGACTGCGCCACGGTGATTGATTGACTGGACTAAAACACCGTCAAGCGGATTTTTCGGTTTTTCAAGCCGGTTTTTCAATAATACTCGTTCCTTTTCTAAAAGACACAAAAAGTTACCGTAATCTTCTTGTGATAAGTCGTTGGACTACGGTAGAATCATTTCCCTCAGACTTTTCTAAGAGACACAAAAAGTTACCGTAATCTTCTTGTGATAGATCGCTAGACTACGGTAGGATCATTTCCATCAGAGTTTTCTAAAAGACGCAAAAAGTTACCACAATCCACATAGGATTACGGTAACGCACGGTAGAATTACGTAATCCATATTCCATATAGGATTACGTAACCTATAAAGTCTTACAGTAGTTAGATTCTGTAGTTAAAGTTTAGCCAGCAATAAAATGGACAATTCAAAACGTTCCTTAAAAACAAACTAAACATAAAAAATAAAAACGTTTAGGCATTTCTCTATCAATCGCCGGTTTACTGTTGACATTGATTCCGTTATTCAAAAAGAAATGAAAAGCTCGTTGATTTCATTAACAATAAATTTATTATTCAAACAAATAAAAGGATTTTCGAACGCGAATTTCGAACAATTCAAACACGAAGAGTGCCTGGTGGGGAATCGACCGCCTTTCGCACACAGAAATATTCATTTTCCTGCAATATAAACAATTGCAATTTTGCAAAATTGCATATCAACTTTCAAAAAACAAAACAGACATTGAATTTTTTGCAAATAAATATGAATATTCAGCTGAAGATTATCTCAAAACTTACCCCATCACGTTTAAAGCAATTTTTTGCATAACTTGGGCACTCGGCTCCATTGTTCACCGGGTCACATCTCTAGAAAACCTTTTTCAAATGATTTGCAAAATGATTTTTGCTGAATTCATTTGTAAAACTATGATTTAAACTGTAAAAGCTGGTATTGCTCTAAATTTGGTTCCTTATCTCTCTAGATTTGGTTCCTTATCTCTCTAGATTTGGTTCTTTACCTCTCTAAATTTGGTTCCTTATCTCTCTAGATTTGGTTCTTTACCTCTCTAAATTTGGTTCCTTATCTCTCTAGATTTGGTTCTTTACCTCTCTAAATTTGGTTCCTTATCTCTCTAGATTTGGTTCTTTACCTCTCTAAATTTGGTTCCTTATCTCTCTAGATTTGGTTCTTTACCTCTCTAAATTTGGTTCCTTATCTCTCTAAGCTTGCACCTTATTGCTCTAAATTTGGTTCCTTATCGTTCATTATCTCTCTAAGCTTGGTTCCTGATCCCTCAAAATTTGAAACTTGCTTCCTTATTTCTCTAAACTAGGTTACTTATCTCTCTAAACTTCCTGCTTTATTCCTCTAAATTTGGTTCCTTATCTCTCTAGATTTGGTTGCTTATCTCTCTAAATTTAGTTCCTTATTTCTCTAAATTTGGTTCCTTATTTCTCTATATTTGGTTCCTTATCTCTAGATCTGGTTCCTTATCTCTCTAGATTTGGCTCCTTCTCTCTCTAAATTTGGTTCCTTATCTCTAGATCTGGTTCCTTATCTCTCTAAATTTGGTTCCTTATCTCTCTCTAGATTTGGCTCCTTCTCTCTCTAAATTTGGTTCCTTATCTCTAGATCTGGTTCCTTATCTCTCTAAATTTGGTTCCTTATCTCTCTCTAGATTTGGCTCCTTCTCTCTCTAAATTTGGTTCCTTATCTCTAGATCTGGTTCCTTATCTCTTTAAACTTGGTTCCTTATCTCTCTTGATTTTCTATCAAGAGTTAGAGAATTCAATTTTGAGTAGAAAGCACTGCAAAAGGTTTAACAATTCTTGGAAACATTTGTACATAAGCTCTGGGAATACATTTCGATTACAATTCGAAAATCTCACGTATTTAATGGAACACCACGCTTTATGCACACACTCACAAACAGCTGCCGGATTTACGCATCGATCGTCATCCTTGCTGCAATCAGCGTCCCTTTCACAGTAATTCCTCGGGTTTTCTGTCGTCTAAACGATTCGAAAGTTTATTTTAACAATAATTCAGGAGATTACCGATAGAATTACTATATTTTTATTCATTTTTATGTTTAGTTTGTTTTTAAGTAACGTTTTTTGCGGTATTCCTAGAAAAACAAGACTGGAGTTGTTTTCTGAACTCTGGTGAAATATTTTTACAACAAAGATTTAGATTTTGAAATAGAATCACTGGAAATTGTTGGTAGCTGAGTTTTTGAAGTAGAGAAAGAAGTAGAGAAAGAAGTAGAGAAAGAAGTAGAGAAAGAAGTAGAGAAAGAAGTAGAGAAAGAAGTAGAGAAAGAAGTAGAGAAAGGAAGTAAAGAAAGAAAATAGAGAAAGAGTTTGGGGTGCGACCCGCTTTAACCTTATCAACGAGGATGATTCTGCTTAAGAATGGCCGAATAGCACAAAAGGTTAAAATGGTTTCCCCAAAAGCGCTCACAACGTAACAAGAACACGTAGTATCCAACAATAGATTAATACTCTTGAGAAGAGTACGGATCGGATTAATACTACGTCGATGGTGACACAAATGTTAGTAAAACAGTCTCTCTACAATGTTAAACCAGTTATCTAAACAGGATTTAAAACCTGAAGCATAAAGTAAAGTGAATTTATAACGTTACTGTTCATTAGTACAGAACCGAAATGCAACAATATCCATTACAAAAACAGGATGCGCATCAAAAATGAAACAACAAAGTCCCCCCAGAAAGAAGGCAAAAAAAAACCCGCAGACCAAAAAAATAATTTTGGGAAGGGAGGAAAGGACGAAAAATGCGACGCGAATAATTGCAAAATGGCAACGCAAATAGGAAGGAAACGGACGCGACCAAAGAAAGTAAGTAAAGGAAGTAAAGGAAGTGAAAGCCTAAGTATTTAAAACTGAAACTAAACTGAAATCACTGTCGATTTTAGCTCAAATCAAAAGCTAAAAATGAAAGAAATCTAGATAGATAGAAATCTAGATCTAGATTGTTTATTTTCAGGTAACCATTTTGATCATTTTGATCATTTTGATCATTCTTGCCTGATCAGCGGCTACGGCTAAGACGAAAGCGATCAGGAATAGCTTGATCATTTCAAAGGAATAGCCAAGAATAGCCAAGAATAGCTTGAGTTTAAAAGCTAAACTCAGTTTGTTTTTCAAATGAGTTTTTTATATCACTTTTATATCACTCAACACTTTTCATTTTTTTTTTTCCCATTTTCTTTTGAATTCGCTTTATTTTGTGATTCAATTTTTTAATATAATAGAAAAATTTCAAGCAAAAATTTGCAACAAAACATTGATGAATCACAAAATGGAAAGTATTAGGATGAAAGGATGCCTTTAACTTTTGAGATAAACAACTTCTTAGACACCACCACTGAATAGAGGCATTGGAGACAAATGACGGCCACAATAGTGCTTTTTATCCTGAAATTTTTAATTTTTTTTATCCGTTTTCGCTCCTAAATCAAGCCGTTCCTGATTTGTTGCAATACGACAACGCGTCAGTTCATCGATCCGGAGATACCCGAGACTGTCTGAACAGCAACAACATTGCAACTTTGGACTGACCCGCTCAGTCTCCTGACCTCAATCCGATAGAAAATTTATGGCGAATACTTGTCCGAGATGTCTACAAGAATCATCGTCAGTTTCAAGACGTTTCCACACATAAAGCAGCAATTTTTTCAGCCTGGAGCGATCTCGACGTCTCTGCTCTTCAAAACCTCATCAATTCAATGCCAGGCCGCATTTTTCAAGTAATTAATCGTTCTGTTGCGTGTACAGATCATTAGTTTTGATTTTTTTACCTTTGATTTTTAATTTGTGTCGATAAATAAAAATATTTTCATAGTGCGTTTAAGAATTTGAAACGGTTGATTTAGCAAAAAGTTTCTATTTTGAAAATTTTTACTTTTTACAGTATGCTTCTTTTTCGTGTTATTTAGGTTTTAAGACATGCTCTTTCTAATACAAAAAGATTAATAGTTGTAGCGGTGGTCAAAATGCAAAATCCGCTATTTTAGAGGGTGCGTTT